AAACCTAGGGGGGGAAAACCTCCTGGACTTTTGCATCCTTTGCCTACTCCTTCCAGACCGTGGGAAGTGGTCTCTATGGACTTTATCACTGATCTCCCTGTGAGCAAGGGGAACACTGTTATTTGGGTGGTGGTTGATCTGTTTTCTAAGCAAGCCCATTTCGTTCCTTTCCCTTCACTGCCTACCGCGCAGAGGTTGGCTGCGGCGTTCATGTCTCATGTGGTGAAAATCCACCAATTGCCTACTAAGTTAATTTCTGACAGGGGGACCCAATTTGTTTCTAAATTTTGGAAGGAACTCCTCGCTATTTTGGGGGTGGAGCAGGGGCTCAGCAGCGCTTACCATCCCGAGACCGACGGCCAAACGGAACGGGTTAATCAAACTTTGGAGCAGTACCTTCGTTGCTTCACTAATTACCAACAAAATGATTGGGCTGATTTGTTACCCCTGGCTGAGTACTGTTACAATAACACTGTGCATAGTTCGACTGGCATGTCTCCATACAAGGCTGTCTCTGGGTATGACAGCCCCCCCCCTTCCTTTCCTGGAGGGGGTCTCTGACCGTCCCGTGGGTGATGCTAATACCTGGTGTTCTTCTCTGAGAACTGCATGGCCACTTTTGTGTCAAACTCTCGATGCTGCTAAGGCAGCTTATAAGGCCCAGGCAGACAAGGGTAGGGTGGTGGGATTTGATCTGAAACCTGGGGACCTTGTGTATGTTTCTACTAAAAACATCAAGATGTTGCGCCCAAGCAGGAAGCTGGGTTGGAAATTTATCGGGCCGTTCAAGGTGCGCAAGGTGATTAATGATGTTGCTGTTGATGTTGTATTACCTAAGAATTTGCGCTCTCTGCATTCTGTCTTTCACATGAGCTTACTGAAGAAAGATCCTGGCACCTCTACATGGAGGCCAACTGTTTCTCCCCCGCCTCCGATCATCCTTGAGGGGGATGAGCATTTTGAAATCCTTGACTCCAAGCTGAAACGTGGTAAACTCTGGTACCTCATTGAATGGGTTGATTTCGGTCCCCAGCACCGCGAATGGGTGGAAGAAGGGGATATTCGGGCCCCTTACCTGCTTCGTTGTTTCCACAGGAAGTTCCCGGACAAACCGGGAGGTCTCCCGCCCAGCCCGGGAGATCTCCCGCCCGGCCCGGGAGGTGACGGTTAAGATGTATTTTTGAGGGGGCAGTATGTCAGCAAGCTGCCATGGTGTTCTGTGTAACTTCTGATTGTACATAGGTGATCCCTGTCCCTGCCAGCTGGCCCCTGTATTTTCTATGCTGTAATGCCAAAGTAAAACAACTGGAGGATGTGAGGGGGAGAGTATGCTTCGCTGTTAGCTTCTTACTTATCAAGCCTGTGAACTGCACCAAGCCTGTGAACTGCACCTGTGTTTTGTCTACTGTTCGCCTGGTTCCCAAGACTTGAGCAGGCAACCGTTTTCTCCTGCCCGCCAGCGGGAACGTTATCCATTGGTTGTGTTTCTAACTTGAATCCCTTTATCATGTCTGCCCTAACTGCTTGTGTTCAGTTCTAACAAAGAACGTGTTTGAGTATCTTTCCAATGCTTTGAAATAAACTTTACTTTCTTTTGAAACGTGGATTTATTCTCGATGCTTGGGGATCCAACACCCACAAGTCTTGCAGGTCCCCCACTTGAATCATTATATTTGTTAGATAAAATTTTAGTTGCTGTTTTTATATGAAGTATTCTGGGATGTTGTGTAGCTAAGAGCAGTTCATTTGTAAAATTTCAGTGATGAGCCCAGTGCTGGCTGCCAGTCAGATAAACACACCAGTGGTGTTTATGTGTGCATTAGGGAATGCAAATCAAGAGATCAAAGAATGCAGACAAATGGAGATACTTGGCTGTCATAGCTATGATGAGTATTTTTGAAGACTTGAAGGCAATGAAGAGCCATTACAGATACAGGTGTCCTTGGAAAGTCTAGGCATGATGGATGGCAAGGAAGACAGAACAGAAATTATAGGTGAGAGCAGTGATAGAGATTATGGAATAAATAATATTGTTACTGTAAATATACTAAAGATAATGACGGATACTTACCAGCTGACAAATTGTTTCTCTAAATATTGTAAAATTTGTAAGATGTAACTGGAATATTACTTGAAATTTAGAACCAATGTAAGAATCTGTAGATTTGATACAGCTGTTTGGAAGTCCTGCATGTGACCTGTCATATTGTGTTTTGGTTCCCTGTCTGTGATGAAGTTCAGCCACTGAAACACAGGATCATACTTCACTCATACAGTTGCAAATAGTTGGAAAATGTTTTTTACCTATGCGTCTGAAACATCTAATTCAGTGTATCACAGAAGTGCTTTTTCACGGCTTGACACAGACAACACTTTCAGGCAGCTGTCCCTTACACAAAGCTCCTAAATGTTCCTAGGTAATCTGTGAGACCTGTTTATGAGTAACCAAGTTTAAGGTGGTGGTGATTTTCTTACAGCCCGTTTGGGAGAGAAGCTTCTAAGAAAAATTTGTCTAGCAGCTAACAATGCAAGACTGTCTCATTGTTATCAAATCAGTATTATAGTGATTTAATTTTCCATCTAGTGTCTCTAGTATGAAAGGGATGACTTGTGATCGCAAGGAGGAAATTAAACTGTGTAACTCTGGTCAAGAAGATAAGAATATATACTGTATTTTTCAGTGCTGCTGGCATTCTCGCCTTGTTGCAGATGTGGGTTTCAGTAAGAGGAGGGATGCACATAGGTTTTATGACTTTTTATGCAGCGTTATGATGCTACTTGTTGTTGGGCTTATATGATTATCTTTTAAAGTATAGAATGCCAACCAATATTTCATTTTCATTCTTTTCCTACTCAGCACAGTTTTCCCAGTAATTGAGCAGCTCCATATTGCCAGCCCAGGACTTTATAATCTAGTGCAACTGGTTTTGGAGAGGGAGGGTGGATGTGCCATAATTTAGTTACATTTTTGCGACTATAGTATTGCCTTTCTCCACAAGTCACATGAATTAGAAGCTGGAACTGGGTTTACTGTATTTTAGAAGTATGTTTTTAATTTGCAGTGAATATATGAGAGCCGTGTGATTGGAGACCACCGTGAGTTTAAAAACCATCTGCTCTTCAACTTTTGTGGCACAAGGAGTTTTAGTCATGTGGCACTAGGAATGTTCATCATGTGATGTGTGTTTTAAAAAGAGTTTTAAAAGATGGGCTTTTTGTAAAAGTTAGCTTTGTAATATTACTACAACTGTGTCTGCTTATGAGTCCAAAAGTTCCTTTTGGAGAGACCTCTGGACACGATTTCTTGCAGCCATCTTTTCATAGTAGTGGTTAGCTTTTTGTAAGAGTTGTGGGTATTCAGTGGAAGTTTGGTGTCACATTTTCTATTGCCTACTTTGAAGTGCTTGGCTCACTTTTCTAAAAACGAGTGTTACTTAAGTTCTTGGATTCATTTAAGCTCTTTGAAAAACAATCCAATAATATCTGCCCTCCATGCTTGTAAAATTTTAATTGAGCAGCTTAGTTTTTGTAGTAGCTTCATTCTGAATCACAAAGGGAAGGTGGCTTAATTGGAAATGAAGAACCAGTATTAAGGTGACCCAGTTGACACTTTACTTTTATTCAGCTTTGTACTTTGTATAGTAATTTCTAATTAGCATTTGAAACTCTGGAAATGTGCCTGTGATTCCAAAGTGAGCTTTGTATAGCATGCGTTCTGCCTGTCTCCTTCCCCCTCCCTTTCTCCTCTTGGTCCTTCCCCTCTTTGGTACCGCCTCTTCCATGCACCCTGTAGCCAGCAGCAAGACAGCTGTGTTTGATCATAAACCACTTACAACTCCAAGCTCCCTGGAAGGGGAAACTTTAGCGTGAACAGCAGGATAGGTCTGTCTCTTGTTCTTTTCCTACCTCCTGATAGGACATAACCGGTCCTCTGAACTGGTGGCTGTGACTGCCAGTCTGAGGCTCCCCAAATATTTCCAAATGATTTGAACTCCTTTGGGAGATGCTTTCTGATCTAGCTGAGGGGGAGAACGAAGGCGTAAAGCTGAAGCCTGGCTCTCCCAAGCAGTTTTAGTAGCCGGGAGATCGTTACAGCCTGTCTGTGCTCTGTCTCGCCATGTACTCCGCAGTGCTTTAATGAGTAACTCGCAGCAATGGATTGTTTGTGAAACGGCAACCAGTTTTTTGTCTCTCTTTAGGAGCCCCTGTGCATTGTTAATTTTTAGACTGTCTAAATGTTGAGTGAAAATGGCTGTCTAGAGCAAAATGTGCAAGACAGGAGAAGCTCAGAGAAGAAGGGGGTGTTGAGTCTTTCGGAGCAAGGATTGGAAACCTTAAAATCCATAGAAAACAGTCAAGCCCTGGAAAGTCTCATCATGAATTCTGGAGTTGCCATGAAATATGGAAATGACTCCTCTGCAGAGCTGAGCGAGGTAAGAGGTTTCAGTGTTGTCCTTTTTCACGCTGCTTTGATTTTGTTTTCGGAATAAAGACTCTCCCTTTTTGAGTATCCACTCTGGAGGCAATGAAAGATTAATGGATATATGTACCTTGTTCTGTCTTGCACTGCTCCCTGGAAATGATCTGAGACTGCTTCAGAAGGATTAAGTGGTAAAAAGCAAATGGTTGCAACTCTGTAGAGGGTTCTTGGCATCCTGCTTCAAGGAATCTCCCCCCCCCCCCACCTCCCCAAGTGCAGTGTTTTCCACACAGCATTCCTTTCTGCAGTAGGTAAAACAACCAGTGAGATCCCAGTTGAAATCAAGCAGATGGTAGCTAATTCAGAAAGGGGAATAAAAAACAAATATTAAGACAGCAGCATCAGTGTGACTGGGTGAAGGCAAGTGTAGATGAAATATATATATTGTTTTACCTGGCAGAAGTAGTAAGTCCTGGGAAGTTATTTTTCCTGGGTGACAAAAGAGTTGCTTTTTAAATCTTACAAATATATAAATCTTTGCTGTTGCAAATTTATATTGTGTTTGCTGCCAGATTTCTAAGCATTTCCAGAATTTTCTAACGAAGGCTTCAGTCTTATAGACAATTACTTGGGAAAAGTCCTCTTGAACTCAGTAGGACTTACTTCTGTGTAAACATGCATACATTTGGAGCTCTATGTCCTTTAACTCCTGGGATTTGGTGGCTGTAGGTGTAACAGAATACACCATCATCAATGATTTTAAATGCCTTGAAATTAATCGCAGGGCACAGCCTGGAATGTATATTACACTTCTGATGTTTCAAGAATGTTTCATATGAATATATCATGTTTTAAACTGTCTGTTCTAGATATGCAATTTTAATTCTGTAGTGTATGCTTATAAAGTGTTTGGAGAAAGGAGGAGGCTATATGGATGCTGGTGTCTTGTTGTGTTAGGATTTCTGGCTATTGTGCTGTTGGACAATAAAGAAATACTGCATGAAACAGAGCTGAAATGGTTAAGATACCGGAAAACTATTTCCTGTCAAGTTTGGGAAGGAAAGGGGAGGTGGGTAAGGAGGAAGAGAAAGACTGAGGGGACAGGAGCAGACCTGTATCGTGCAGTTTCTCTTTTCAGTATTTTATTAAGCCTTCATTTTCCCAGTAATAAAATGACAGAGCTTTCAATGATACATAGAAGTTCTTCAAACCTGTCCATTCAGCATGAAGGCTAAGACTTAAGGCACTTTTCTAGTTTGCTCCAGCATCCTTGGCCAAACTATCCTCTTTGTTTGAAGCTGCTGTTATATGGGATGGCTGTCTGCTTCCTTTAAAAGTATATCCTGTTTCAAATTTTTAAAAGCTTAACTCATAATTTTTAAATAAAACTTGCATAAGATGTACTTTGATGTCAGTATAATGTCTGTTTGAGGTAACATTTGATTTTGACCGCGACCATTTGTAAATGAATGTAGCCCTAAAATCTCCCTACAATATAGTTGAGATCAAGCTAGTGTTCTTGCTTTGCAATGTTATTTTCGAAGACTTTAAAAAAATGGTATCCTTGTTGCTTCCCTGTTTACCTATTTCATACCTCTGTAGTCCATCTGTACACAGAAAATAATTGAAATGGGGCAATAACATGAGTACTTCCCATGCTGTTTTATCTCCCTTGCAATACAGTTGTGCTGGCCAGTGTTAAGAATCTGTGTTAGCCATGGTGGCACCAGCAAGGGTCTTATGCTTGGCAAGCAGGGCAGAGCTATCTAACTCTGCTCAATTTTAACAGGTAAATACATGAGAAGCAGATAGTTACACTGATGTCTCCTGGATGCATGCATTGATTTAGGACACATGTAGATGATCTCTTGTCACTCTTTCTAGTGGTGGTGACTACTGCCACCACCACCTTGCCAGCACTGGGGATGTGTGCCATTATTGCTAACAATATTGTTGTATCAGAGATGTAATTCTTAAAGTCAGATCTCAGTAGGCCGCAAAGTCCTGGAATACCAGGTTGTTGTTGTTGTCGTCATCATCATCAGCAACAGCAGCATCATTAGCTAGGCTGGGGAAAAACATACATTTTGACTGGTTATTTTGCTGGTAGCTTTGCAAATTAATGCACAACAATTGAATTACTGATACAAGGAGTATATCTGTGAAATCTACTACAAAAATGTAATGTTCCCTGTCCGCAGTTATGACATTGCAAGAATAAAAATTGTTTACTTTGTTTGAATGCACTTGAATGCACCCCAATATACTTCTTGTGACCTCGGGTGTATGTTTAGTGGAGATGTCCTCCCACCTCAGTTTTTAAAATGGAGATCCTTTTTAGGATTACTTGTGGAGATCATGATTTTAAGCTGTATATCACATTTCTGCATAATAAATTTATAGAAAAAACCTCATGGATATGCATCACTTGTGCCATAACTTCACTAATCAATGAATTTAAGTCTCATGTGTGCTTTTTGCTTTTGTGTAGTTTGTTGAAATCTGTAATTGCTGTGTCATCATCCTCCATCTTCACTCCTCTGCTTCCAGACTGATTGTCTTTCTCTTCCTTCTCCCTCTCCTTTCAGTGTGATTGTTCTCTTGAACAGTTTTAGCTGCATGCCCTTGGCCAGCTGAAGTCATGGAAGAAACTGGCTTTGGCTGGATGCTCCTAGGTTTATACTGTCCTATTGCATGTCTCTTTATAACATCTTTTTATGATTTTCATGTGAACTTAAAGTGTTTGCTCATTTTGTCTCAGAATGAATTGCAGACAGAATATACTCCTGTCTCTCGGCATGCATGATTAAGAATGTCAATAGGCTCATGCCTGCCACAGTCAACAAGCATTTGGGATGTAAGTCAGTAAGAAACAAGAAACACGAATCAACCACAGAAATGTGCAGGAAGAAACAGCAGTATAGAAAAAGACAGTAACTTTATTTTGACTCATAATTTTAAATCGGGTTTTAGCTGGTCCACTACATGATATAAACCTACTAGAGGAACTTTTATGGCCATCAGTTTTGAAACTGAGCAAATCCAACTTACTTGAATTGTAAAGACAAATTTTCTGAAAAAGAAGCAGATTGAGAATGGATGTTGTTTCTTCTTGCAGAGTTGTCTGTCTCTGTGTTTTCTTGGATATTCCTGATTTCATGTAGAAAGCTACTAAAATTCAAATTTAGAAATTAATTTTAAATAATTTTAAAGTGATGCATAAGAACATAAGAGAAGCCAATGTTGGATCAGGCCAATGGCCCATCCAGTCCTGACACAAAGTGGCAAAAAATACCAGGTGTCATCAGGAGGTCCAGCAGCGGGGCCAGAACTCCAGAAGCCCTCCCACTGTTGTTCCCTAAGCACCAAGGATACAGAGCATCCCTTGCTGCTGCTTTTAGTGTGTGGCTTTTACCTGTCTTGCCACTGATGTGCTTCAGCCATGAAATCACAGAGAGAAAAAAGTCTTGGTATGAAGGCATGATCGTGTGAGGATTCCTTTTGCCTATGTTTCAGGAGTTCATCCTATGGATTTTGTATAATTAAGTAATATTATAGTTGTATTATTCTGTGGTATTTTGCCATTGTAAGAACACTGTTTTCAGAGAATTCATTTTATTATGGATATGGCATATAATAAATTCAGGGCAGTAATTAACGATAAGCACCAATAGATTATAAAAAGCTAAGCACCTGTGAGGAAAAATCTTTTCCTCCAGGATTCTACAAGGTCTCAGAGGACTGGGAAGACTAATTTCACCTCTCACCTTCCTTTAACCAACGTGCACCACTTTCAACATTTTGTACCTTCTGGAATAAATTCATTCTTCAACAGGATATGTGTGTATGTGTGGGGGTGCTCTCATTCTTTTGATTTACAGAGTCATTTTATTCTGCATTCCTTGGGAATCCCCAGGGTATGTAGAAACTCATATCTTCCTTGTCTGTGTGTGATCTGGTTTTTCTGCTTTCATGATTGGCATAAACCACCCACTTCATTGTTTAGATATAGTGACAAGATGGAGGCTTGCAAAGAATTGCTGGAGTGAGCAGCAATTTAAAAATTCTTCCATACAAGCTCCAAATGTACCCCTTTAGGATTCTTTACGCTCTCAGGGATTTGAGCAAGCCCATTTCCCAGTCTGCCTCTATTCTTTCTCATGCCTCCACCCTAAAATCTAGCTGCCAACATTCTGTGCTTCTTGGGTTATACACATTTTTTTCCAGGGAGGTGGTATATAAATGTGGACTTTGTTATGATTTATTAAAACATTTATAGTTTCCTTTTTTATTATTCCAGTCTTCAAGAGAGTTCTTTTGAAGCCATACCAGAGTGTACACAAAGCTTACTCCTTTCAGTGATTCTCCTAAATTTCACTTCAGTCAGTATTTAAGAAACATATTTGCAACAGTATGAAAAGATCTCCTTTGATAATTGTTAATGGCTGGATTCAAACATAATTGACTATGGTTTTACCAAATCTTGATTTGTTGTGACATCTGAATTTTTATAGTATAGTAAAGCATGCATAATGGTTAGTGCAATCTAGCTAGTACTTATAGCTTGATGGTGATTTGTTATGGTGTCTCAATCAGCTAATTTGGTCAGTTGTACAATCCTTGTGACCTCCTGTATACAGACAAAGCAGTTTGGAGTGGATGAAAAACAGAATTTCTTTATTTACTTTATATCTGACCTTTCTCCTAAATGGGGACTCAAAGTGGCTTACATTGCTCTGATCTCCTCTGTTCTATCCTTGCGGCAACCCTGTGAGGTAGGCTGGCAGCATGTGACTGGCCCACGCAGCTTTTGAATATCACTGTCAGCTTCTGAATCCAGTCCCTCTCCCCTTCAAGCAAATCTCCCCATGCCCATCTCTTTACTGTAGTGTGATTTGCAAAAAAAAATTATGTGTGGCTCAATGCTTTAACAAGGGAGGGGATGCAGTGAGACAAACCAGCTCATTTTCTAACAGTATATATTGGATATATCAACACCCAGTTACTTCAAAA